GGTGAGGTAACCCGCTTGTCCAGATAATCTCTCATTTTAATTTAATCATGTTTACATGATAGGTGGGGGTGACCCGCCACATGCTACCTCACCAATCCGGGTTCCCCCACCTCCGTGTAAACAGACTTGCTTACTTTTAAAAATATCGCATGGTTTGATATTTCAACCTTCACTTGATTCCTCATCTAGATTTCCAGGAAATGACCTCATTTTGGCTAATTTCTAGCTTGTTTCCCGTCTTTTCGATCCAATTCATTTAGTTTATGGTTTTTATTTGCAACTTAAAATATTTTAATAACAATGATATGGAACATCTCCCAATTCACAGGTGTTGGTTAAAGTAAACATCTATAGACTTTTCCCGCATTCCTGTAACCAAAGGCACCAACTCGAGGCTCCGGTGGACAAAATACAGTGATTTGTATGAAATTTTCCACCCTAGCCTCATTCCCATTTCTTTTTGTTTGGTCACTGGAGCGTAATGCGGGAAAGGTCTATTGTCGTAATTTCTGCTCTCTACCGCGAACTATATTTTTAATTTGTCCTCTGATCATGAGGTTCCAGTCACGTCCGCAATTAATTTATGGAAAAGTTTTAGCCAATCATTTTCAATGAAGAAGGTTAACACTTTGTGTAAATCGACAACTACCTTAGATCCTCAAACTGTGATTTTAGTGCTTTCCTATCTGTTAATATAAAAAGTCTGTTTACTAGTATATATTGTAGTTTTTATATTGTTTCTTGTTTTGTATTGGTCAGTTGACCTAAGCCAGAAACTCATAAGGGGTTGTTCAGTTTCTGCCTATGCTTAATAGTGAAAACTTAAGTAGAAAAACTATTTTGACAAAGTAATTATCCTGAAGGTTTCTTGCTAATAAGGCTGTCTCAACCAAGCAGATTAGATTTACGTCAGCATTAGTTTACACTAAGCAGATCGTTTTCTGGCTGGTATAAAAATGGCTGTAACACTAATTTACCACAAGAGAGAATTATAAGCTAGGAGCTGAAGGTGATTTAACCACCAGTGAGCCAGAAAAAGTTGTTGGTTGTAAAGGCTAGCTAGCAGAGCCATAGTTAGAGGGGGGGAGGAGGGGGGGCAGTTGTCCTCCCGGACCTTTTGAGCCAGACAAATCAAGTCTGTGGACGGATTTGTATTCTTTGGACTCAGTTATTTTGGTTATAGTGACTTGCAATTGTTTGCCATTTTCAGATTTGAGGTCGAATTTTCGGAGTGACATATCTCATGACAAGATCTGAAAATAACGTATCGCAGCCTCCAAATTTGAAAACTTTCTGGGGGAGACCCCCTTACAAGGCTCGTGCCTTCAGCACTCGCGATGTTGCCCCCCCCCCCCGTTACAAAAAAAACTAGCTACGACCCTGGCTAGTCCGGATCAAAAGTCTTTCAACACCGGATAGCTTTTACTGCCGAAACGATATGTGACTCTTCACTTTACAAATCACCAGGAAATCACTGTGATACACAAGTCGCACCGAAATCATCGTTCTTATGTGTGAACAGAAGCCTTCAGTGGCGGATCCAAAAGGGCCCCGGCCTCCCTTATATTTAGACCAAACCGAGGCCCCTGACTTCCTCCCCCCCGCCCCCAATCCACACACACACCCAGCCTAGCACGTGCTTGAGGGGAATGCTTTCATTGGCCAATGGGCCTCATACATTAAAAGAATTTGGCATGACAAACTAAAGGCAGACATGACGAGTGCACTCAGACTCTCTCAGAGCAAGACTAACGGACAGTACCGCGCTTTTGCAGCACCCACCCGCCCCCCAGGGATTGACATGGAGGCCCCTTCCCAACCCATGGCGAGTTAGCTCAGGGACTGAGCTTGACAATGAGACCAACCAGGACAACAAGTCCCCTATGTTTTTTCTCACCGCAATGACCAGAAACCTGGCTATCGCCTAGACTCTTCACAGTCCTCTATTTTTCCGTAAGATCATCGAGATCGAACGCTTTGTGTTACGGGTTGCCATCTTGCATGAGTGTCAAAACTACTTAGAGGGAGTGGGCGGTTTGGGAGGAAGCCAGAGCTATAATCCTCGACGCCCGCCCCCTCGGTACATTTGAAAATCAAGATACCCGTGACGGTAAGACGCGGTAGGCGGTATATCTAAACGACCTCACGAAAAAATAGGGGACTGTGGACAGTCTAGCTATCGCCAGGTTCCTGTGCGAGTATTCTGGTCCGTTTTGAGGTATGTTTTCAAAAACTCGGCGAGATATATATTTTTATTTTCTAAAAACATATTTTTTATCATTTAATCGGGATGACTGATAGATTTTTCGCACTATATATTGTGGTGTCTTTGTGTTAATATTTCCTTTATCCTTTTATCATTCCATAATTCGTATGGTGTCCCTGGCCTTTTTTTCCCTTAAACTCTGTATTTTACCGACAACACCAGATGGATAAAATAGACAACTATTTCATTTCCGTGTGTGTATTAATTTGCTCTCGGGGAGCATATCCAATGTCCCACACGCCCCAATAGGTTGGGCCACCCTCAGCTATTCAACTTTCCTTTTCCCCGCGTGAGTACACCTTCAAAATCTCACGCTACTCCCCTGGTATTCCAATAAGTACATGCAGGAGTTCTGATGCAGTACAGTAATTTTTGTCCCCATGGCCACAGTTGACCTGCGTCCGTCCCACGTCTCGCACTCGCGAGACTTCAATTGATGATCGGACCAGTCCCCCTCTCCCATGTTTACTGCTAGGGGATTGGCACGAGAACGTTTTCGCGCCCTTTACTACTGCGAATAAAACAACAAAAACATGGCTTCCGCAGTTCGGGGAAAGATAGTTTCTGTGTTCAAATTACACGGCCTCTCGCTCAAAACAGAGGCAACAAAGTTTCTGACAGAAGTACTGAGCCCCCTGACTGAAGTTGAGCTGGAGGATTGGCTCGATAAAATTGTAGAAGGCGTTCAGAAACAACCATTATCTTCCTCCCTCGTCGATCGAGAAATCGCCGAGCAAGCTGTACAGGAGTGTAGTCAGTCATCGGAGGACGACAGTGATAAAGCCTTCACTATCATCGACGCTTTCAGCGTGCCGAGATTTATCTTCAATCCGGACAGGAAAAAGTTTCTTCCGAGCAGTGGATGTGTGGCACTGCATTCCAATAATGCAAATGCTAAACCGGAGGTAAGCTCACCGGCAAGGCAAGGTTCAAACGCCGACATTTTCATGAGCCGAACCCAATTCGAATTAAGGCCGACCCAAATTATTTAGACCGGCTGAATTGATTCAGACGCCGATCTTAATTGCAGCTGAACTAAGTTCAAAAAGGGAAAAATGCTGATTTCGGTCAAACTGCTTACAAAATATGTTATAATAATTTATGCTTTAGGCTCGGTACCCGGGGGGGGGTACTCCCACACATTACCTATATGGGTATGTGCCGCCCGACGGGGTCGTGATTTTGAAGCTCCTGATTTAGAACGGGGTATCCATTTCAGAGGCGTTTTCTAGAACGGGGTATAAAAATTGTGGATCACGGCTTTATCTTCTGCTTAAAATTGTTGCTGATTATGAAGAAGCATTTATTTGATGTATAAGTCGAACAAATAAAGAAATATCTTTTTAAAAAAACAGGGCTATTTCAATTTACAAACTTTCTAGAACGGAGTATAAAAAAATGGCCCATTTCTAGAACGGGGTATCAGTTTTAGGGCGAATTCCGGAACGGGGTATAAAAAATCGGCCCATTTCTAGAACGGGGTATCAATTTTAGGGGAAATTGTTTTTAGAACGGGGTGCCAATTTGGAGTCCCGGGCGGCACATACCCACCCAAAAAATACCCAAGTGCCCGCTCCGGGGCTCGGTACATGAAAAGTTCGTCGTCTGAATCAAAGCCATTCCAAAGTCGCTCCAAAGGCGAAATGTTTGGCCAGGCTAGACGAAAAGAACGGCTGAACTGTTCCAAATTGAAACAGGCGTTCGTAACTGATTCAGACGCCGAACTTTTCATGTACTTAATTCAATGTATTAGGTTCAGCTATTGAAAAGTTTGGCATCTGAACCGGGCCTAAGTTCTTCATAATGAGCTCAAACCCCTCCCCCCCAAAAAGGCGAAGGCAGCAAAAATAGCTCCAGACAATTGAAAATAAAATGCAAATATCGAGGCAAATTTTAAAAAGGGAAATATTGAACTCAGAGCTAGAATTTTGCCTGCTTCCTCTCCTCCCGCGAATTTAATACTCTGAGCCTGGTTAGGTGGTCCTTTACCTATGAGGGTAGTTAGTGTTGGAGAAACTGAGAATCAAACTAAGTTGAAACCATTTAAACCTCAATTTCATTTTGACCTAAAACGCCTGCACTGCTCTTCCCACTCTTCATAAGACTCCCACAGTGTCTGGTTTGAAACATTTGAAAACCTTTTATAATAGCCTTGGCAGTTTCAATAAAATTCAGCAGAGGCAACTTTGAAGTCCTTTTGTAACAGCCAAAGAAAGCAAAATTTTTTTTCTGTTTTGTTTCAGCCTCGCTCTCATTAGAGGCCCAGGGCTGCGTTGCCCCAGCTACACTGTATTTTGAGTGTGAGTGTGGCTTCTCAGTTAGAAGCATGATACTGACGGCTAAAGAAAACGTCAACTCCCTGGCTACCCCTTCGTTGTTTTGCCTGTGTCATAATATAATGGAGTCCTGTTGGGACAGCGGGGATTTATGTAATTTTTCAAGTTCCTTATATTTTGCTATATTTAGGATGGGGCTGTAATTAACTGAGGCATCGCCACTTGTTAAAGGATTACCCAGAGGTGGGTTGGGGCAATAAACATTTTGCAAATTAATTTACTCATGCACTGATTTTTGTCTATTCTTTGACCAGGTGTTTAGAGAGAGGTACAATATTTTATACCAGAGAACCATGAGACATGAGTTGTTTTCACCTGTGGCTGAAGGGGCTAATCAGAATCAAGTGGCAGAAAAATTTGCTCTCAAGCCAGTGGAGTTTCTCCTTGGAAGCACAGCTAAACTAGGGCAGCTTATTGTACTGGGCATGATGACGCAAATCAAGGAGGGGAAATACTTCCTTGAAGATCCCACTGGGGTGGTGGAACTGAATTTGAGACAGGCTACATTCCACACTGGTCTTTACACTGAAAACTGCTTTGTGCTTGCAGAAGGTGCTTATGAAGATGGTATTTTTCATGTCAAAGCATTGGGCTTTCCACCAGCTGAACCAGGACAGGTGACCAGAAATCACTTTGGCAACATCAACTTTTTTGGTGGACCATCTTCTACCAGCCTGAAAGCTTCAGCAAAGCTTAAAGCAATTGAGAGGGAGAATCACGATGCCATGTTTGTGATATTGTCAGATGTTTGGCTAGACCAGCCTAGAGTAATGGAGAAGCTGCGGGCTCTGTTCTCAGGGTACTCTGCAGCACCTCCAGCCTTGTTCATCCTGTGCGGTAACTTCACATCAGAGCCACATGGGCCTCATCATTATCACACTCTTAAAGAATCGTTCCAAGCATTTGCCAAACTAGTGGCTGAGTTTCCACCGTTAATAGAGAACAGTCGCTTTGTGTTTGTACCAGGCACCCAAGATCCAGGACAAGGCAACATCCTACCACGGCCTCCGATTCCTTCATTTTTTACTTCAGCAATCACTGCAAAAATCCCCCTCAGTATCTTTACAACCAATCCTTGCAGGATCCAGTACTGCACACAGGAGATCATTGTATTACGTGAAGACCTCATCAACAAGATGTGCCGTAACTCAACTAATCTGCCATCGGACTTAAAAGACATACCTGTTCAATTAATGAAAACCATCTTAGCTCAAGCTCATCTGTGCCCTATTCCTCCTTATGTGAGGCCCATATATTGGACTCAGGATCACTCCCTAAGGGTTTATCCTGTGCCAGATCTCATGATACTAGCAGATAAGTACGACCCTTACACGTGCTCGAGTTTAGAGTGTGTTTGTACAAATCCCAGCTCTTTTGCTAGAAATGAGTTTGCATTTAAGGTGTACTGGCCATCAACTAAGGAGCTTGAGGACTGTAAGATTACTGATTAGGTGTAAATACTGCCTCTGACATCTGCTTTGTCTATTTTCCAGACATAGCCATCTTGCTCATTTTGACTTGTAAAGAATATATTTACAGCATTGTATTTAGAGAAAACAAATAGTACCCGATCACAAAAATGCAGACAGAGAACAGAAAGCTTAAACTGTGAAATACATGTATCATGCAAGTTTTACTGAAAAGGTTGTCAAACGAAAATAGGCGAATAAAAGGTTTTTTCTCACTGAGATCTCACAAATCGGAGCGATTGCAGAATACCCACAAATCTTGGAATTTTAGCTGTTGGAAATGACAATGTAAAAAGGAGGGAAAAAAAAAGAAAAGAGAAAACGCGGGGGAAGATGACTCGGATGTACGTCACGCGACCATTTGTATAATGCATGACATGGTTCTATTTTTAGCGCTCGCTTGCGTCGTCGACATGTCAGCAGAACCAGGCTCTCTCGACAAAGAACTTTCCTCTCCGTTGCGGATGTTGTTGTGAAATATGGGAACTGTCAAAGCAGGATACCTCAACAAACTGAGTAAGCTTTCTTAGAAGTGGTCGTTTGGAAGAGTTATTAACGTAAAATCGGTATAGTAAGCCAGTCTACCAATTTTCTTTCTAGGCGGATTTTTCAAGAATTCGTGGAAAAGAAGGTACTTCGTGTTGTACAAAGATGGCGTGTTCTGTTATTATCAAGATGCAAAAGACAAGGAATGCGATGGAAAAATCCACATGAAAACAGAATGTCGACAAATTAAAGTGGGTCATGCTGTTGGAGAAGGCGTTAAACCTCCGAAAGACAGTGAAATAAATTCGATGTTCTGTGTTTCTTCACCTGAAAGGACCTGGTATCTCTACGCCGAAACAGAGAGTGAAGCCAGGTAAACTGCGTTTGTTTTTTACTTGTTTGGGGTAGTGAACGGTAAATAATCTGCGTAGAAAAGTCCTGTTCATTACAATTCCCTCTTATCAGACGAGAATTAACCACTGGATTGGTTCTACAAGCTAGGGCTGTTTGATGCCCGATTTTTACTTGCCTAAAAAAACTAGAAGCGAGCGATTCTCGTTTGAATCGGCTTCAATTGGTGATTACCCCATTTTAGACGTATGCTGAATTTTTGTAGAGATTCTTTTTGTTCCCTAAACGAAATTCAGATTATGTCAATTACCACTTCAATTTTTACATATACATATATATATATATATGTATAAATGACCTTGTTTGTTTGTTTTTTTTGTAATGTAAACTATAATATATTACAACGTCTTCGCGTGACTAGAATAATAGGCTGATTTGTAAAGGTAACAGGACTGATTGGGGTCCAATTCGGTCTGTTATCATACGAGTGATTAACAAAATCCGGTTTGTTTAATCACGAGTATGATTACAGACTGAATTGGACGACACGAAGTCCTGTTACCAATTAATCATAACTTTAACAAAATTTGTGATACAATAGGCTATTTTTTAAACCAAAACACGAGAAATTCGAAATTTTGTTTTGCTAGCAGTGCAAAAAGGCATGAGGCGTACTGTCCTATTAAACTGTCCAATTAAGGCTGAAATCAGGGCAGTTGAGAGCCAATCAGATTTGACAATTTTGTTATAGTTATGATTAAGCAACAGAACGGGAACGTCAGTTTACGACTGCACGCACAATCAAACAAATGGCTAGACCAATAGCAGAGCGGCAAATTGGGCACCGGAAGTTGTGCGTAGTCCTTTCCGCACACTTTCCCGCCGTCAACTGACGTTCCCGTTCTGCTGCTAAATCAGCCTATTTAAGAACGCTTAGGGCCGTCTACATACAGTCGAACCTCCACTAAGGCCACCTCTCTACAACGGCCACTTTTTTTGGCGGACAGTCCATACATTGGCCCTTGTTTAAACCTCTCTATAATGGGCACTTTCTTCTTCCCCAAGGTATCCATTATGGAGAGGTATCAACTGTATTCACTTTTTCCCCACTTAACGCAAACAGGACGTTTAGGTCAGCCCCCTCCCCCACTCTCCCCCTCCTATCCTTAATGAAATTTTGCTCCTCCAAAAGTTACTGCATTAAAGAATGAATTCTGACATGCACTTACGTGAAGATGTGAACTGTATCAACAGCACAATTATCCAACCTGTTCTCTTGCAAAATCAACATAACCGCTTTTTCCTGTCAATGCTTTTGATTTCCTACTATACTACAGTATTCTGAGGTCAAAGTAAGAATTGCTGGTACATGGCCGCCATGTTTTGAAAGCAAACTGGCCATAATTTTTGGTATAGTAATAATTTATTGGTGATTTAGGATAGAGTTTAAAAGATCGCAGTGTAAAATGTACAATAATATTGGTCCTTCTTTCTCTTAAACAATGTCATAAGCACAATTCCACACATGACGTAAAATCTATGAAAATGCATCAGTTTCCTTTTGTCCAAAAATGCCCCCACTAATGTCCGCTGCCTTACAGCCTTTCTCCTGAAGCAGCGGCATCCAGCTGACATTAAGCGGGGGAAAAGTGAATAAATTATGTTGACAACCCCTTACCAGTATTACCAGGTCAACCCCTTGAAAGTTACTAATTTAGGTTAGGACTATGTGAGGAATACTTATTCAAAGAGGGGGTCCATTGGACTTTCCAGTTTAAAACCAGGTGCTATTTACCCGGAAGGTCATGGGTTCAGTTCCTGCTGGTGTGAGGGCTCAGTTCTTTTTTTCAATCATTTCTTTATACATACTGTAAGCTCTCAAATAAGGGCTTTGGGTGTTTGTTTCAAATATTTATGGCTTGTAATGCATCAGTCAATTCCAGGTGCACCAATGCCCCCCCTGGGACAGAGACAATTAAAAGGCTTAAAAGCCCGCAGTGTGTACAAAAATAGGAATGCAAATGCCTACCCCCATGATCATCATGTGCAGTGAATATTTTATGAGAACTTCTCTGTAATTGGTCAGATTGAAAATCTTTGAATGGATAAAATTGCTTCGAAGACATTTACATCAATTTGACCAGGAAAACTGAGGTGGCAGAAATTTCATAACTGCCTCGCGTGTGAATTTACAGCTCATTATGCATGCAAGAATGCAGAGATGAATCTGAAATCTACAGGGTACGCTTGACTGTAACAAAGACATCATCAACAACACCACTACATATAATTACTCTTTTTATTATTGTTTTGTAGCTTGTTAGTATAATAAATTGTCAAAATGGTTGCTGGAAAGTTAGCTTATTTAAAAAGTGAAATGATATTCTACTAACAGTAACTGTGCACAAAACACTGATGGGTGCAGCTGGAATTGACTAGTTATTTCAGTTTTTTAAATTAGTAGATCTAATAAAGTTTTATTCTTCCACAGAGAATGGATTTCAGTTTTAGAACAAGCTAGGGTGCCAGTATGTACTGATTTTATTTTATTTTCTTATATTCTTACATTCACTATTAAAACATTGTAATCATGCATGTTGGCCTGTTTAAGGTGTTTTTCCATGCTTTACTGTAAGTCTTTGCTCTCTGTGGTGAGTACGTAAGTTGTTTTTTCTGCCCTTTAATCCTCAGCTTTCATTTGGTGGTGCCCCTAATCCACCAGGAGCTCCTTCATATCCACCTTACAGCGCACCAGGCACATCTGGATATGGCCCTGTACCAAATGCTGCTGCTCCGTATCCTCCCCCTATTGGTTTTAATCCATCTGTCATACATGGAGCACCAGCTTGTAAGATGAATATTTTTTATTGTTATTTTTAATTCAGAAATAAATAAATAAAATTATTTGAATTAATTATGATAATTACACAAATAGTTCTTTCTACATTACAGTGCATGCAATGCAAAATTTTTTTTTTAGTATGATATGGTAAGATTAGCTTAATATTATTATTAATTTTCATGTGAACAAAAGCTGAAATCTGTACACCCCGTGGATTCAATGGTCCCATTGTAATCTAGATTTAAATTGG